TAAAAATTTAAATAAATATTGGCAACCCTCATAAAGTATGACTCTAACTAAAGATCATCTTCATTGTTTTATCACCCTGTCACTTAACATTTTTTTAAAAAGTAAACCCTGGATTCTGTTGCCCTTTAAAGCAAGGAGTACTTCAAATTCACAGCACTTATCATTATTCTCTTTGAAACACAGCTCACACTTTTTTGTCTCTTAAGAAAACTAAAATTATATAAACGTCTTTGATTTATAGCAGTTACTTTCAGGAAATGCACATCTTAAGTTATCTATAAAGATGCGAAGCAGATGACCATGTGTGGTTATTGAAGAAAGCCACGCCCTACTTGGCTAGTAGTGACTGTCCACCCATCTCCGCTGGAATAGGGAGACCCATTACATCTAATACAGTAGTAGCAACATCACACAGAGCAGCATTGTGGGTAATTTCTTTGAACTTCAGTCCACCAGTCATAATAAAAGGAACTGAAAGAAGAGTAAAGTCAAAGGCAAATTATTGCCAAGCAAGTGAACCACCTTTGTAAGAGAGCATATCTACCCCTAAGTGGCCAGACAAACCTGGAAGTATTGCCACATTGTCTAAAGTGGGAGAGGTTAGTTCTTGTTCATTCCTGACCAATACCCTCTCCCCTTCCCTGTAATTTGTCAAAGTCTTCTTAACAGGTTACCATCATACTATTATTTTCCTGGATACCTCTTACAATGCGAGTTTGAGGTCCATACTGTAAGTTAGGAACCAATTTTTATCTGCTCAGATTTATGGCCCAAGCGCATAGCATGCAGGCCATAAATCAGAGCAGAAAAAACAAAGGTCCACAACTTAATACAGCACTGATTGAGATGACAAAGCTAGTAAGATAGTTACTATATCTCTGGGTTCAAATAGAGGGGGATGATTTCAATTCTAACAAACTTTTGAATTCACAACATTAGCTGTACAGTGAAATACTGCCTGCTATATTGACTGCTTCTATAGTGCATGTACTAACAGGGAGATATAACATTGAGCATTGACCAGAAATTACAAAGAGAATAACTAACCTCTGTTTGTAGTGTGTGCTGTATGAGGACCGCCTTTCTCACTAAACATCTGCTCTGCATTACCGTGATCTGCTGTTATCATTAACACATAACCTGTTTCTTCACAAGCTTTGAAAATCTCACCAATTGCTTTATCTGTGTCAAAAAAAAAAAATAAATAAAATTAATAAAACTTGCATGTCAATTTGAGCAAATCTTCAAAGACATAACTGCAATTATTGTGTTGTGACTGATTAAAGTTCTTTTTGCTACAGAGAGCATGTGTCTATTTACAATACTGCTGACTCACCAGTTGCCTCACAACCCTTGACTGCGGGCTCATATTTGCCAGTGTGACCAACCATATCAGGTGGAGCAAAGTTGCACATCACAAATGGGTACTTGCCACTTTTTACAGCTCTACACACCTGATAATAGAAATATCCAAAATATTCAGCATGGAAGCCTGGGTCCTTTATGCTAAATTACAAAATTGACTTAGACTCAGAGCAGTCCCTTTTTGGCAAAATCCATTGCATGAGTAAAAAAAAATCAGTTAAGAAAAAAATTACTGGTTGTGCACTGCATGGAAATCTGGGATTGACAGGCCCCAGAGTTCGACGCAACACACTAACATCAATTTTTTTCTTTGCTTCTTTTTTTACTCCTATCCTGCCATGGAGTATTGCCAAACAAAAAGGAGGGACTGCTCATAGTCTTAGTGGTGAAAAAAATAAGGTCATGCAATTGACTTGTCTACTTTGCAATCACTCTTTGGACATCGCTCAAAGCCTGTATGAGGGAAGCACTGCTCAAAATACCACAGAGAAGCTGCCAGTGAGACTTTCACATTTACAAAAAAAACAATTTTCATAAAGTTTAATTGTTAGTTTTTTTTTTTTTGATGTTATTCATTTTTACCTCTTCTCCAACTCCTTCAGCATTCATTTCAGGTTTCAAATCATATGTGGCCACTTTTGGTGAAGGAACCATTGCTCTAGTTTCTCCTTCAAACTGTTTCTCCACACCACCATTGAAAAAGAATGTTACATGTGCATACTTCTCAGTTTCTGTAGTGGCAAAACAAAACCATCAGTTTTACAACTGTTACATTAACGACAAAAAATTATCTCGCATATTTTTCAACTTAAATGAAATGCATGGAAGAAAAAAAAAAGAAAAACAAAGGACCCTACTGCACAGACGGGCAAACATGGACATTTAGGTGCCAATGCTCCAGCACATTCATGTTCCAGTCAACTACATGACTGTACTTGCCTTTATAATTGGCACTCTTACATGGCAGGGAGGTTTGGTCCAATTATGAAATATATTCCATACCCCTCAATTTTATTGGGTTTCCTAACAAGTCTCCATAGTCCTACGTTACTCCTGATGGGCACAGATATTACAATAGATTGAACAGACACATCCTCTGTTCAAAGATACTCAACTCTGGTGTCCACTTATCGATACTAGGATCCAATCCTAATCTGATTTTGGACGCTGGTATCCAATTAAACCTTCTAGACACTAGTGTTCAATTCTACACACTAGTGTGTGATTTTAGACAGTAGTGTCTGATTTTGGACAATGGTGTCTGCTTAGACCTCTGCTGTCTGATTCTAGACACCGGTATCTGATTTTTGGAAATTTTTTACTGGGAAATACCTGTCTGGGTTACTTTTTATTTTTAACAGTAATCAATGCAATACTGGTAATCATCATTACTTGACAAGAAAATTCATTTCAGATTAATATAAAACAATTGAGAAGTGTTCAAGTTTTTATCAATTATCAATTGTGCAGGAGGTCAAGGGTTTGAGCCCTGGCTGGACCAACACTCAGGGTCTTAAAAATAATTGAGAAGAATTTTCTACCTTTCTATAACATCAAGAAATGTTTAGATATTCTAGTCTTCTCAGATAGGGACAAATAAATGGAGGTCCGGTCTCCTGCAGGGTTAGGGGGAGGAGACATTAATTTCCCATGCACGAGATTACTGTGTGATGGATGTCCTCCCCTGGGGTGGGAGGGTGGACTAGCACGAATGGTTCGTATGTTCCCTTCTAGTCCTTCCCCACTGCAAAATTAATGCAGTGAAAATGGAGTACATTAAAGTAAATTAAAATGAAATTAATTGAGTATTTACCAGCAGTGTGAAACTGAGGAACATTGTACTCAGATAACCATTCTGCTAGGACATTCTTTGGAGTAACAGGAGGAAACATGACTGGGAAGGGAAATTCCTTTTTGTATTGTGTCATGGTAATTTGATGCTGAAAAAAAAAACAAAAACAAAAACAAAAAAAGAACAATATTTGATAAGTCAAAGAGTAAGTGCACTCTTGACACTAGTGTCCATGTTGATGTCCAATTTTCAAGTATCTAACCATAACATAACTCTTGACTAACTGATCTTTTGTTCTCCTAGTAATAAGTTATGTTTCTTCTAGTAATAAGATAACCCACTTACAAGGTTGGAAGGAATAGCACTTGTTTCAAATGGGGGCTTTATTCCAAAAGCTTCATTGATTTGTCTCATTCTGTCTGAACGGAAGTCGATAAAACAAAGGACATCTCCATCTGACAAGAAACAAAAAACCAAAATAGAAAAACATATGCACAGTACAAACATTAAGACACTGACCATTTTTTTTTTTTAAATTTAACTGATCAAAGAAATAAGCTTTCAGTAAAAAAGATATTGCTACACTAAAAGAGAACACAGCACAGTTGGTTAAGAAGATAAAAAAAATACCTTACAGGTTTTTAAAGTTTGTACTATGAGATTTAAAACTGTGAACTGTGTTCACTCAGCTTATGGTTAAAAAGAAAATTCTATACATTCACCTCAATTACATTATCATGCTTACACTTTTAAATCTTTAACTCCCAAGATCTGATTGCTAAATTCTCTCCTCTATCTGCTACACCTTTCTTTGTAAATTAGTTACAAGAATCAGGTGTTGGATCATCAGGTAACAACTTCTACCTGATAAGTTTGAGTATTCCCATTACCTGTTTGCCGGATAATGTATGGATATTATAGGGAGAAGTTACAAGTTAATCACCTCAAGGAGTTAAAGGGTTTGGCACAAACCTCTTATTCTTCCTTCAGGATCCACAATAATAGGTTTTAGGAATTCATCTGTCTCATGCTTGTCTCCCTTTGCTTCATAGCGACCTTTGATAACCTTCAATGGAAAAAAAAAAATTGGGAACTCAAATATTTTTAAAAAACTTAGACAATTTATGAACAAAAGGCAGAGGAAATTTGCATGCTTGAGGGATCCTCAAGCCTGCTTTACAAATAGTACTTTCAAATAAATCAACTCTTCATCCTTACCTCAATAACTTTATCTGGTGTGGTCTCTTCACCCTTTCCTTGCACCAAAGCTTCATAAGCAACCTGGATTCTCTCCCAGCGCTTGTCTCTGTCCATAGCATAGTAACGGCCTACGACTGTGGCCAGTGAGCCATAATTGACGTCCTTCAGCTTCTTCAAAACTCGTTCTACATATGTTACTTAAAAAAAAATTGATGCTCATGTAAGGATGTCACCATAAGAATATCTGAAGGAATAGTGGCCCCTGAATTTGGTTTTGTCCATTGATGGGTTCCTAACTCCACAGATCTGATTGTTATTAATAAAATTCAAAGCTTGAATATTCCTTTCCCCCACCAAAAACCCCCAAAAGCCCTTCCACCCAGCAGTTGAACTTTTCACAGTTGGTTTGTTCAAATTCCAGCCCTTTGGAACTAAATTTGTGTTCAAATGCCCTACCCAAGTGATGGACCGGATTTGATGGTCAGATTTTTTTTTAAAAGGCAAAATCAGAGACAGTGACTTTCAACTCACTGACCAAGCTTTCAGAACTAGACCTGTAGACCTTTTCTTCTAAGCCATTTTTCTTGTGAAGGCAAACTTTCCACCTTTAAACACCTCCATGATTAGAGATACAAAATTGTATTCCACTGGAAAGAATGAGATGTAAGGATCAAATTCCCCACCCCACCTCGACAAGGTTCAGATTCTTCACCCCCAGGTTTCCCATTGGGAGGGGGGGGGGAAGGGAGGGATGTTGAAGCCCCAAATTGATCGGTACATAATGACAATCATTACTATTAACATAGTTTTTGGATAACCTGCTGGTAAAGTAGCTTCCTTTAATATATTTTTTACCTCCACTGGTTGGAGATGTGTCTCTTCCATCAGCAAAAAACTGAACATAGCACTTGGGAACACCAAGTTCCTTAGCAGCATCAATCATTGACTCTAAATGATTGATGTGGGCGTGGACACCACCATCACTGACCTGGAAAAAAGACAGAAATCAGCTACCGATGAAAGACTGTCAATACAAAATTGACAATAAAAATTGTCCATATTCAAACACACATTCATATTAAATTTGCACAGAAAAATTGTTCCTTTAATTTGCAATTACGCTAATACACTGTATAGTGAAATCCTGATCATCTTGGCTCATACAGACTGGGCTAAATAGTCTACTGTAGATAATAGAGTCTGGATAATTGAAAATAAGAGTATTAATGAGCCAAAAATAGAACTAAAGGGCATTGTCAAATCATTGTACATCATTGCCAAAATTTCCTCAAAAGTATTTACAAATACATTTTATGACAAAAAAATTTTATGACCTAAATGCAGACATAACTCAGTTTGATGCAGCTTCATTCTTTGAAAAAAATGGAAATGGAAAAATCTGTATGATTGAGGTCCAGATAATCAAGGTTGGATTGTAAAGTCATGTAAATAATTATAGTGGAAAAAGTTGTGTGTACAAAATTTGTCTAGTTAATCACTTTTCGCAAATGTACAGCTTTTGGCTCTCAGTCTAGAACACTTAGGCTATTAAAACTAAAAGAGTTAAGAGTGGAAGTAAAAATTTTTCATGTTTCTGTATTATCGAGGTCCAGATAATCAAGGTTCGATTCTACACGTAGATACAATAATAGTGGAAAAAGTTATATAGGCTCCCACTTTGGTTGATTTTAGCATTTTATGTATAAGGAGCATTCGTCATATAAAACTAAAGTATGGCCCCACTCAACAATGACTTAATTCATTTTGGTAGAGCATTGGAATGTAGAATCCAAAGGTTTGTGTTTTATCTCCTTAAGCAGGGTTCAAATTTTTTCCCCATCTCACTGTCTTAAAAAAATGAAAACATTTTTACTCAAGTTTAAAGATTTGTCCTGTGAGATAAAGATCAAGATTATTTCATGACAAATTACAAATTAACTCTTGACTGTTAGCCTATATAGTTCACACACATAAAAATGAAATTGACAAGTAAAGGCTACATACTCACCAGACCCAATAAATGAAACCTTCCATTTGTAACCTTGGCTTTTTCTGCTGCTTCAGCAAAAACTTCATTTTTTGAAAACTCCTTATTTTCAGAGGTCATGTTAATTCTCACAATATCCTAACCAAAAAGGATAGACAAGCAATTATTTGAAGCCTGAGTGATTTAGAGTAGCCCTGGATTATTAAATTGTTAAAGAATGATATTAGGACCCTTGCCATGTCACTCATGGCTCAAATACAGTACACCCAATCTCCATGCCCTTATCGAGAAGGACAATCTCGGCTTCACCTTGTGTGCCAATTTTTTTTTTGTTCTTACCACAATTTGACATCATCTGTGATTTATAACAGAGCAAATGCACACTGAGTCCATTTGTTGATTGGATCACAAATTTCACTTCCCCCTTCTTATTTTCCTCACCATCCCTGATTGATTTTAAATAATGGATTATTAAATTGTTACAAAAGCTATGATAAACTACACTCCCATATTTCACACCTGGTACAAAACTCTTCCAGCTCCAATATTCAGATGTCCTACTTCACTATTACCCATAAGTCCCGCAGGCAAGCCAACTGACAAACCAGATGCATCTAGGGTGGTATAAGCATTCTTTTGTCCAGTACAAAATGCATCCATGACTGGCACTGTAGCATTGGCAATGGCATTTCCTATATAAAAGCATTACGTAAATGAGATTGCTTCACATTTTCACAATATGTAGTTTTTGGATCAATAATTTATTTCTTCCTTCCTCTTCTTGTTTGTTGTTATTCAATGAGAGTACAACTAATTAATCTCTAAATGATAGAACAATTTTCAAACGTTATTGATTGCAAGTAGAGTATTTACTAAGTTACTTCAATAAGATAAGAAACCTACTGGCTTTGATGACTGGGGTATAAATTTTCAAACAAGCGTCATTGGATTGAAAAAGAAAATGGTATAACCAAGTTTGAATCCATATCTTTGTAAAAATTCTTTCTCTAGTTAATCACTTCGAAAATGTACAGCTTTCGATCTTCAGTCTGAAACCCTATTAAAACTACAAGAGCTTAGAGTGGAAGTCAAAATTTTTCATGTTTCTAAAAGTGTTTCAACACTGGAACACTGAATTCTTACCAAAACAGTTTCATTTGATATTCGTTACTATTTACATCACAATGTCACGCAACAGTGACTCTGGATTCAGGGAACTACTTTGCGCACAAAATGCTTCGGTTGGCAATCTATGGGAACGTAATTGTCTATAAACATTTGTCCTAATATACATGGTACATAAGTAAGTTGTGCAAAAATCAGTACATGGTGATTTTCAAATATTGACACAAAATAGTTTTATGACTGTCAAAGTGTGACGTGACACTAGCTCAGGTCGGCTCCGAACGCGAAAAAATACATCAATATTTAAAAAAACAAGTTTATATACATGAAATACAATGACATAGTCCTTGAAGGACCCTTGCTATGTATTCAAATCGATGGATCATTTACATTGGAGCTAAATGTTCCGAACATATACTGTACATGCAGAATTAATCCGTCGATCACACTAGAGATTGGTGTAGTGCAGTCGACAAAAAAAAGACGTGTTTTGCCTAAAATGAAAACAGCTGGTACCTTCTTTGTTTTCAGAGATGCCCCAGCCATCGATGACAATCAAGCAGACATTCCTTTGCACTTGTGCCATGATGAATTAGAGTTCTTACACGAGAGAATTCTACCTCTACTCTAGAAGGTCAGAAGTCCGACATCAGCCGGTACCTGCTCACGGTGCATGGTGGGAGAGAACAGGCGCGCTTAGAGTTCTGGGAGATATATCTTCCCCTCTTGCAACCAATAAAATCGGATATTTCGTTAATAGTTACGGCAATGCTCCTTGATGTATAAGCCGCAATCACCACATATAATGATGCTACTTTTGTTATCACGTAAGTAAGTTTTATCAGCAGCTTTATCATCACTGATTTTAAAAATTTGCCCGCCCCTTCAAGCCCTGACTCAAACACGCTTACGCTCACTGAAAAGGTAAATTAACGATTTTTAAAAGAAAACATGCATAAGAAGTGGTCTCCACTGCAATAAATGGCCGTCCCGCACATAGTAAATATGGGATTCAGAGCGACCAGAACATGTGCGAGGCCAATGGTATCATGTGAAGCACATGTGATTTCGGTCAAAGCTGGAAATCACCTGACTGAGTATCTATAGGAAACAGTAGAGGAACATATTTTGACAAATTTTCCCTAAATGAAGTTTCAACATAATGAATTGATATTGTGGACATTCCATTTAAGGTAGACAGGGTAAATAACTACATCTGAAACAAACAACGAAGATGATCTGTATATGCTGTTTAAATTTGTAGATACCTGTATCTCTTTAACTGACCCGCGTTGACAGTGTCAATAACTGCAACGAGACAATGTAAACAGTTGTAATTACTGAATGTAATTTGGGTTTCGTTTGCATAAGGTGTTTGAATGTGCTCAAAGAAAAGTATAGTATAGCATGTATGAAATATTATTAACCAAATATAAAGTATAGTATAGCATGCATGAAATATTATTAACCAAGCGTGGGGTCAAGATGGCTTGATATTGGCCGAGGTTTTTGTTTAGGTTTTTTTTGAAGGACACGAAGTCAAGGTCCATAGAAACGGGAAAAAACGAAGCTAATATCCGGCAAGCTTGAACAATTAAAAATTTAAAATGTGGCAAAGAAGAATCAAGAATGCAAGAGGTGGGAAAGAAAGCCAATTGTGATTGTAACTGTCATGAAAACATTCAAAAGAATTTACTTAGGATTATGTAATTCATTCTTTTACTCTCTTAGGATATGTCTAGTGTGTGATATTTGTAGCTATTACGTATATCGCATTCTTTACTTGTGTAAATAACCTTTATTCTATATAGTCAATAGTTTTGTTCCCCTTTTTCTCGCACCTTGCGTCCGTATATAATGAAGGATTTGAGCACGGTTACCTTGCGTCCGTATATAATGAAGGATTTGGGCGCGGTTACCTTGCGTCCGTATATAATGAAGGATTTGGGCACAGTAACGAAGAAGTGAGGTCAAGGTTTGTGAGTTACGAGCGAAGAGCGTGGAAAAATTTGAGGGAACGGAGACTCAGCATAATATCATTTCTGACAAATTAATTCAGAAAAATCGTTCCGCTTCACGGTAGAAAACCATTTGCCGGGATACGGGTGTGTGAAGAATCCACCATGAGACTATGAGCTAAAAGAAGAAGAGATTGTAACTGATTCATTAAGAACTTTTGAGCGAGTCAAGTTACGAGAAGTAAAAAGTTGGAAACTGCAAAGTTTTCAGAAGACGAGGCAAAGTTGAAACGAAGGAAACTAGCAAAGTTGAAAACAGATGAGACGGGAATCTGGTTGGAGAAACGGTAGTTTGGTTTGGCAGGGCACCGTTTGTTGGTGGAGCGTGGTGAGTTGTGGACAAGACAAGAACACGGAGGCGGGCGTAAGGTGAAACCTAACCGAACTGAACTGAAAAAAACCCTACCTTTTTAACTTAATAATACTCTTGTAAATATAGTTAGCGCATTCTAGTGTTAAATTTTTGCGTTCTGGTAAACTCTAGTAAAGTAGTTTATGTAAATAATTTAGCAATTTAGTTTTATCGGATTATTGTGATTAGGGTAAAGAATTAAGTTTGTTTTTTTTGTTGCTGTTTGTAATTGTTAATTACCATATTGCCTGACTTAGAGTAATAAATATTGTAGGCCTACGTTTAGTTGTGTTGTGGCGTGTCTTCTCGAGCTTGTTTATGTTTCCCGTTTTGAGTATGTTGGATGGCGCCCACCTTTGTGGCGCAGATTCGTCACAGTGACACAATAAACCCACGAAGATCGTTTATGTCTTCTCGTTTGAACTGTCAAAGCGGGCAATCATAAGCGGGTAAGACGGGCCCATCTTGCTTGTTCGGATAGCCAATCAGAACGCAGGATAAGCTTCAATTTTGCCAGAGGTGCTGCTAGATATATGATAAGTGATTACCGTGTTATTTTTAAGTTTAAGTTTAGTTTAAGTTTAATCCATTCGCCACGGGAGTGGCAGGAGAAAGGAACGGAACATTCGTCCCAATTGACACCTAACCCCTTTGTACCCACCATCCCACCCCGGGGAGGATATCCATCAGTAATTTCGTGCGTGGGAAATTAACGTCTCCTACACCCAACTCTGCAGGAGACGAGACCTCCATTTATTCGCCCCTATCCGAGAAGACTAGAATATCTAACAATTTCTAGATGTTGTAGACAGGTAGCAAATTCTTCTCAATTATTTTAAGACCTTGAGTGTTGGTCCGGCCGGGGCTCGAACCCTCGACCTCCCGCACAACAGTACAGCGCACTATCCATTGGGCTAACTGGGCGGCGGTTGTTCTTGCATGAAGTATGTATATTAGTGGTTGTTCCCGGTCAACGACTGATCTTACACGGTTTCTAATTCGAGTTTTTTCTTTTCCACTGCTATGAGTGTGAAAACATTATCAAAAAAATAATTATAATAATAGAAAAAAATAAGAAAAGACTAAGTCACAAGACTTGGTAAAATAGACCTTTCTGGAATTTACTTGGCGAATATAATGAAGTAAACGCATGAATTATTCAGCAAGGTTTCTCAAGAGGAGTCGCGAATCAAATTACCTTTCCCTTGTAAGAACAAAACATTGGTGATAATTTGAATTGTTGTTATTCAAATTGCTTATGAGATCAAATGAAATTCACCACACATTTAATTCGTCCAAATTACGATTGCGTGGGAATTCTGATGAAAAACACCCTGGGGTTTATTCATGATAATCATATAGGGAAATTAAGTTAATCATACTTACACAATGAATAAGGACGAAATGTTATGGTGATATTTTGATTGCTCTGGTTGGGGGTTATCACAAGAACAATTTTAACGGTTTTTGTCAGTAAATTGCAGTCACCTTCCGCCAGCTAGCTTCGCCATGAAGGTACTTAGAGAACTTGACGTGTACTCACTGGTGATATTAATGGTTCCCTTGTTCTGTCTCACTGAAGGGTCAAATCGTTTTTCGGATCCTGATTTTAAGGCTGTTAATTTCGCAGAGGCGATAAAAGATCGAAAACTGAATGGAAGCATCTTTAAGGACTTTGAAGTGACGTCTGAAATCTCTTGTCAGTTTGAATGCATTTCTGAAGACCGATGTTTGTCATACAACTTCCTTCCTATCCTGGGAAAGTCCACAAGCAAATGCCAACTTAGTGACTCTGACCGATTTATTGGTCGGGAAAATTTTACCAAAGAAGATGGAGTGCTTTACAGAGGAATACAGGTGACAAGAATCATACATTTCTAGATAAACCCCCGGGAGACGAGTCTTTGGAAATTTTAAAGTGAATTTAATATTTTCTTTCTTAATTTAAAAAGAAGCTTTAATTCTATATACTTCGGACCGCAATGCAGCATTTCTGCTGAAACAAGTACATACATACACATACATATCTGTACTTTATTTCGGAGCGAATTTTCAGAGTAGCTCTGTTGAGCTAATATGTTCGAGAAAGAAAAATACATAAGTCTGTCAAATTATAAATGGAACTATTACCAATACGATAATAAAAAAAATTACTACTATAAGTTCATTTTCCTTATCGCTATCTTAAAATCTTTGACTGATGTAATTGTTTTCATGCTGTCCGGGAGCGAATTCCAAGTTTTTGCTGCTTGATATCGGATGCGCTCAAGACCATACTTTGTTGTTTTTGGTATTGGTAGAGTCAGAATATTCTTTCCTCTCAGTGAATAACTGGAATTACGGAGAACAAAAAGTTCTTTTAGATATCCAGGATACATAGAAACAAAAAAGTTCGTGAAAATTACCATTAGAGTTTTGTAAAGTCTTCCAGTATATAAGGATGCTATCTTTGCTTTCTTTAACAGATCATCATAACTAGACAGTGGATCATTAACAATAAATCGTAAAATACGTTTGTTCAAAGACGCTAGATACTCTTCATATTCTAAGGCTGAGGCAAAGCGAACTTGAAGGAACCCAAATGCCATGATTCAATGTTAGGTTCCGTTTATACTTTAAACTTTCTCTTTAATAATGCAAAAGTTAAAGAACTAGTTAGCTAGTTTCGATAGGTGCGTCCCTGAATTCCATGGTGGATATGAAAATTCTGAGTGAGGAAAAAGTGGAAAATGAAGTGATCCCGATCCTTCGCAACAACTTCGCTCGCGCTGGCGCTCTCAGCGTTTAAATGTAATTCTTAAGCGAGAGAGGATAAAACGTACAATAATTTTTTAAATCAGCTCTTGCTGAGAACAAGCATTAACATTGAAAAGTGCTTATAATTTATCAGAAAGGATTCCGTTCGAAAAAAGTAAAATCTCAGAAGAATGATATGTATGTAAAATGCTGAAATCTGATTCTTCACTAAATTTCCGAAAATTGTCATGTTTAACCGAATGAGTGTTTTAAAAATTAACCTTTTCTCATTCTTCAAAATAAACGGCTTCCATTAATAAGGGGCACCAAATTTGGCAAGAAACTATAGAATACAGTTTTTGCTTTCTTATCCCCAAGGGCATCTGCGAGGAAGAGTATCCCTGCAAAGACAATGAAATATGTGTAGCTGACTACAGAGCAGATACTCATTTCTGCAAGTGCGTCACTGGTAAGGTTATATATATCGTTGACTGAAAGGTGAGCGGCTTTTTGAGCAGCTGTTTGTATTTTATGCCATCCAAATTCACGGGAAAAGTAAAATAATGGGAAGACTATGTCAGGGTTATTTTTCTCTTTCAGTAATAGTCTCCCCAATTTAACACTTAAGAAATAATCCGTTTCGTCGAGCACCAGATGTATGTTTTTACGAATGGTTATCCTTAGGCTATCGGATTACCGTATATTCATGGAATTCCCATTGCAGGCTGTCCCAAGAACTGTTACGACTACCATCAAAATGGTTCCACAACTGACGGCGTGTACTGGATTTACCCTGATGAAGAAGAACCCTTTCAAGTGCTGTGTGACATGACAACTAATGGCGGAGGATGGACCGTCTTTCAGAGACGCATGGATGGCTCTGTAGACTTTTATGTTGACTGGGAATCATACAAAAATGGCTTTGGAAATCTGAAGGGCGAGTTTTGGCTTGGGAATGATTATCTTCACCGTCTGACTACATCTGCAAACATGTTGTTCCGTATTGATATGGAAGATTACGAAGGTGACCGAAGATTTGCCAAGTATACCACTTTCTCTGTAGCCGGTGAAAGCGATAATTATCGCGTGACGATCGACGGATACAGAGGCACCGCAGGTGACTCACTGCTATCTAAGATCAAGCCCATCAAGTATGTAATAACATTTTTATATAAGTTGTTCTGCATCAGGAATAATAGTGTACTTAAGTGGCAAAATTCGGAATCGCTACCACTCAGGAAGTGATATTGAGGGTCGCGTAACTTGCATAGTAACTGACCAGACATTTTTGCTCACAATCGCTGCCTGTTTTGCGCCTTTTATATAGGATGCTGTCCAAGAAATACTTTTCGCTGCAATGCTGAACCTTAATAGGACATGTTCTCTCAATCAATCTAATATGCAATGTTGCTTGCACATACCCTGAAGACTAGAAGTGGCCACTACGTGATGAAGTTCTATTTGCTAATCATAGAACATCAAAAGTTTTTTTTTTTTCAGCATATTGACCATGCCGTCATAGCTCTCTGAGAGTTTGGTGCTCCTTGAAAATTGCCAACCCTCAAATATACTTCTTGCAACATTTTTGCCATTCTCATTTTCTTAAGGTTTTTTTTTTTCGCTTTTAGAAATATGCAGTTCACTACCAAAGACAGAGATAACGACGTCAATAGTAATGCAAATTGTGCAGTGAACAATAAAGGTGGCTGGTGGTATAATGGCTGCCATAACGCTAATCCCAATGGCATGTTTCCAGGCGGATCTTCTGGACAAGGAGTTACTTGGCAAACATTTCGAGGACAAGAATACTCGTTAAAACGAACAGAAATTAAACTAAGACCAAAATTTAATTGAAATTTTATCTGGGAAAGTTGTGTCTCACCAGCCTCTAGCAAACTAAGTACCGTAGCTTCTAAGAGCCACAAATATATCAGACGTTACGAGAACAATGAATTTTGATTGAATTCCAGCGCGAAACAGTTGGAAAAGAATCTAGCATTTATGTAAAGTGCTGAATATTATATTAAGATGCACAAACATATATATTGGCACTTTGATATTGGAACATTTCTCATTCCACCCAAGTCTTCTACAATTAAGTATGTAAAAAGCTTGTTTTACCTCAATCGGTTATCATAGAGTACCTATAGCCAGGATCCTCTGAAAGCCGTTACTGGATCAAATAATATAACAGTAAGTGGTAGGCCTTGAGTGTTTATCTAGCAACTATATTATATACTATATATTATATATCATATACATATATATATATATATATTATATATTATGTTTATATATATTATGTTTTGAAAGAGATCTGAAGCCCATAATTATTGTAAAAGGATCACCAAGGCCAACAACATAAACCTCTCGAAGTTCCGCACAGTCTTGGCACAGATATCGTTTTCATATTTGATGTGGAGGAAACATTAAGTATGGAACTTCTAGCTAGCCGAAATGTGTAGCCTTTTCAAACGCAGCGACTTTTTAGCACAACACGAGGAATCATCATTTAGAAAGTTTTCTAGTAGAAGTCAGTCTCTTTTTCAGTGTTTTCTCTAGAAGTTGACATCTTGTTTATGATAGTTCCTTCTTTTTTAAGGATATAATAAAGTCATTTTTCTTCATGATCTTTTTTAAACGTTGTTGTCGTTAGGGCGGTGGGGAGATCCCCATTGGCAGTCCTTATAAATATATGGTATATTGTACGTCTTTAACACAGCAGATTGGCGAACTACACGACACAGTTTGCTGTAGTTCCCGAAATTTAATTTACTGATACTTTTACTATCGTACTAATGGCTTTATTTGATAGTATTACGCTACCTCAGCTTTCTTTGTTGCTAATTCCAAACAGCTGCCGTTTCTTGTTATGGTTCGAGTCAATATTAAAGATTGATTGCCGTAGAGGCCACTGACTTCAAATGTGATTGCGAGAGGACTTTGGTTTTACGAAAAAATTCGTGCGACTGCTTACACATGTCTAACGGTACAACCCCTTAATCTTATGTTACTTGGATAGAGCGCTGGACTGTTGTGCGGGAGGTAGAGGGTTCGAGCCCCGGCCGGACCAACACTCAAGGTCTTAAAACAAGTGAGAAGAATATGCTACCTTTCTATATGAAGAAATGGTTCGATACTCTTGTCTTCTCGGATGGGGACGAATAAATGGAGGTCCCGTCTCCTGCAGGGTTAGGGGTAGGAGACGTTAATTTCCCACGCACGAGATTACTGTGTGATGGATGTCCTTCCCTGGGGTGGGTGGGAATTGGCCCTGAAAAGCCCCTAAGGGGAGTGGTCAATTAACATATGTATATGTATGTTTGTATGTATGTATGTATGTATGTATGTATGTATGTATGTGTGTGT